GTACAGCTCTCGGCCAGGTTAGAAGGTGCTTTCTCTAATCAGAACAGAACCGTCATGGTTAACAGAGCGAGCATGGTTCATATTTCTTACTGTTATAGCTGGTCCCCACTATCCTATTTCGGCCCCTAACACTTCCACTCAGAGGACTGTCCGGCCAGTGAGCCTGGGGCGGAGGAACAGGGGGAAGCTCTTAGCTTGACAGGTGTGGCTTGAGAGTAGACACTCAGACAGACCAGTAAAGAACCTGGGAAAGATGGGGGTTGGCAGAGGAGGCTACGCTGTTGACTTCTCATCTCCAATTTTCAGGCTGGGCCATGATGGCAAGGGGGCGTTTCCCCTGGGGAGGAGGGCGACAGGAGGTGCGCACCTGGTGGCTGAAGGGGGGGGAGCACCGCTGTGAGAGGCACAAAGCCCTCCCCACCCCCATGGGGAGGGAAGGGGGGACATTAGGCTCACTCTCCCATTTTTTGTCACTCAGCACTCCCCCTTCTTCGACCTTGAGACCCGTGTGCTAATGTGCAGTGTGCAGGACTGGGCTTGGCCCGGGTCCAGGCAGGAGAGCTGCTCAGTGCGCCCTGCTGGGTGTGTGTGTGTGTGTGTGTGTGTGTGTGTGTGTGTGTGTAGGAGCCTGTCCCCAGTGCCCGTGTCAGAGGAGTCAGGGCTGAGGAGGGTTCAGTTTTGCTGTTGGTAGGGAAGATCAGAGTCTGTCCGCCCGCCTCTCTTTCTTGCTGACTGGAGAAAACATGAACTTGGGCTGGGCTCTGAAGCTAGTGAGGCCGTAGCCCTCTGGTCTGGGCTCAGTGGGGGCAGGGAGAGGGCTGGGCTTTCATTCTCTCTCTCAGCTCCAATGGCCGCCTCCTCTCCTACTGCCATCCACCCTTCTGACATTTGCCTTTTGCCAACTTTAGTAGAATCACTGGTAGCTTTAAACAGACAGATTTCTGAGCCTCATCTCTGACCTACAGACTCGGGGGGCGGGGGTAGGACTCTGTATTTGTAAGAAGCACCCCCAGAGCCTGGCTGGTGTGGTTGAGCATCGACCTATGAACCAGGAGGTCACAGTTCAATTCCTGGTCAAGGCACATGCCTGGGTTTTGGGCTTGATCCCCCGTGTGGGGCGCGCAGGAAACAGCCAATCAATGATTCTCTCTCATTGATGTTTCTATCTCACTCTCACTCTCCCTTCCTCTCTGAAATCAATAAATATATATTTAAAAAAAAGAAGAAGCACTCACAGGTAATGCTGTGCAAACCAGGCTGGGGAGCACAATGTGCAAACTGGAATCGTAAAGGTCGCTGCCCTGGAAAGGGAGCAGGCAGGCAGGAGCTTCCGGGACTCCTGCATCCCCTGCTGACACCCTGCACTCTTGCTTCCCTCTGAGCTGGGATGGGGGTGTCATGGCTGGTCCCCTTCCATGGTGTTCTCAGCCTCCAGGGCCAAGCACACAGAGGCTATCTAGTGGTTGCTGGCTGATAGATGAGCACTGGATTGCATGGGTGAATGAATGAATGAATGAATGCTCATTGGGCTCAGGCATCCAGGAGAGGCCTGGAGAGAGGGAGGGAGGACTTCCCACATGGAGCCAGATACGGAGGGCAGAGGGATTTTTGAAACAGAAAACCCAGCATGCCCAGGAGGAGATAGGCTTGGCAGGGATCTGTGGGACAAGGCTGCCCCACTCTGAGGTTCACAGCCCTTCCTGCTAAAGGGCAGAGGGTCCCAGGTTTCCCTGCTGGGGCCGGGCAGGGGAGGGGAGAGGGAGGACAGTGAGGCAGTGGAAAGAGTTCTGGGCCACCCTGGTTGATGGGTTCTGTGACTTGGGCATGTCAATACCTCTTTCCAGGCCTCAGTTTTCCAGCCTGATGTTATCACCAATGACTGATGTTCAGTTCTCCTTCCTCCTTCCTCCCATGTGGTGGGAGAGGAGGGCTTTCAGATGGCATGGGAGAAGACTCCAGCTGGGATCAGCTAAATGGGCGCTGTGAAAAGCAGGTCCACCCGCTGGATGGGGCTTTGTCAGAGATCCAGGCCCTGGCCAGAGGGCAGAGTGGTTCTGCCAGGGATGCCCTACATGTCAGAGGTGGGGCAGGGCAAATAGGCAGAGGTTCTGCTGAGAAAGGATGCCTGGGTTGAAGGGCGTCCCTGCCAGGTGGGATGTGTCTGGTGCTGGGTGGGTGGGTTCTGAGCTGGACAGGAGGGAGACCTGACCAGAGCTCTGCATCTCTCCGGCTGCCCTGGCTGTCAGTGCCAGCACCTGCCCGGTGGTCCCCACAAACCCAGGAGCTCACAGCAACCCCCTCCACCTCTGCCCAGTCATCTTCTCTAACCTTGATGTTGGAAACTAAACATGGCTAAGGGACCCAACGCAAGGCCTGGCACAGAAGCAGTGTTAATGTTTGCTAAGTGAATTAATAAATTAATGAATAATGAGAATGGTGCAGAAAAAGAAAACAATTGCTGGAGACTTCCAGCCGGATATATGAAGGGGACAGTGCTCGAAGGAAGTTCCCTGTCCGACTCAAACAGGGTGTGCTGGGGTCCTGTCTGGGTCTGATGCTGCCATGTCTTGCATCAGTTTCCCACCCCCTCCCCAAGCCTCCCCAGCAAGTCCTCACCTAGTGTCTGGCTGTGAGGGAGATTATGGCAGCTGGGGTGGTAGAAAGCACAGACAGCTGTGGGCAGGTCCTCGGCCTGGGGGTTTCTGCCTTTCCCCTCCACCAGCTTTCGGGCTAACTGTTTGCACAAAGGCCTCCCTTCCTTTCCCCACCACTCTAACCGCCCCCCCCCCGCCCCCATAGATGTGGTATCTGGGTGTTTCTGGGGTCAGGGATAGAAGCAATGATCTCCAAATCAGAGTAGGGGGTGGGTGGGAGGGAGCTAACATTTATCAAGAAACTGCTACATGCCAGACCCATTGCTTACACGGCCTCATTTATGATCACAGCCTTTGTAGAGTGTGCATCGTCCCCATTTTGTTTCCTAATATGGAGATTGCACACTCCATGAACACAGGGACCATGTCTATCTTATTCACTGCATTCACAGGTTCAGGACTTTTGAATGAATGAATGAATGAATGAATGAATGACCCTCAAGGGGCTTAGCGTTTATGGAGAGAGCGAACTATGTAAACACCTGCTTGTGGAATAGAGGGGGAAGGGTCTCTAATGGAAGGATGTGGGAAACAAGTACAAAGGAGGCTGTGAAGTCTGCTTGGTGGGTGGACAGGAAGGCTTTGGAGAGAGGAGCTGTGAGAGCAGGTCCTGGAATAAGAACGGGGATTTTTCACGTGAATAGAGCGGTGAGAAGGAAGCCGGGGAAGAGGAAACTGCCTTGGGAAAGGCACAGAAATGTGAGATGCATGACCCACTTAGGGAACATGGTGGCATCTGAGTGGCTGGGCTGTAGGGCGGGGGATCAGAGGTTGCTGCTAGAAGTGAGGTTGGAGCAGAAGATAGGAGCCAGATGATGGTGCAGAGGGGTGTAGGGGGCAGTGTGAAGCAGAGAGAGATGGGATTCGATTTAAGTTTCAGGGAGATCCCTTGGCAGCCATGGGATGGATGGATGGGCAGTGTGGGATGGAGAAAGCAGGCCAGTGGCCAGGGAACCACCAGGCAAGACAGGGCTGTGCCCATGGGGCTGGGGCAGCAGACGCAGATGTGTAAGCGGGGACTTGGCAGGACTCCCTGAGAGTCTGGACGGCCCCTGAAGGTGTTGGGAGTGTCAGGATCTCTCTGGGGCTCTGGATGGGCTGTGTTTAGGAAGATGGAGGCCCAGTGTGTTCAAAAGGCTAACACAGTGCTGGGCACTGTTCGCACCATCAGCCTGGAATAGAGCCACGTCAGCCTGATGGCCCGCCTGTGGGTGCCCGGGGGGTGTGGATTGACAGGGCCGAGCTGGAGAAGATGCAGCAGCTGCGTTCTGGTCAGGTGGCCAGGCCTTTCCAGTCTGGAAGGAAGGAGGCTGGGGGAGAGGTGGCAGGAGTCTTAGGAAACCAGACAGGGCCATCGAATTGCCAAGGACGCTCTACAACAGCGGTTCTCAACCTATGGGTCGCGACCCCTTTGGCAGTCGAATGACCCTTTCACAGGGGTCGCCTAAGACCATCGGAAAACACATATATAATTACATATCGTTTTTGTGATTAATCACTATGCTTTAATTATGTTCAATTCGTAACAATGAAAATACATTCTGCATATCAGATATTTGCACTGCGATTCATAACAGTAGCAACATTACAGTTATGAAGTAGCAACGAAAATAATTTTATGGTTGGGGTCACCACCACATGAGGAACTGTATTAAAGGGCCGCGGCATGAGGAAGGTGGAGAACCGCTGCTCTACAAAGCTTCAAAGGGGAAAACTTAATTAAGTGAAAAGAAACCACCACATTCACAGGTGGGCTGTGAATTCCAGGGGAAGTGTGGGCTGCTAGCCCGGTAGAGGGTGGGTGGGAGGACAGGGTCCTGGAGCTCCAGTGGCCCAGCCTGCACTGGGGGCTGGGGGACAGCCTGGACGTTGCCTGTCCCGCACAGGCCCTGGGCTTTGGGCAGCCAGCTCCTGGCTGCAGAGGAACTATGCCGCGAGGAGGCGGTGAGGGCCCCTCATTGGACCTGGTTTCCTCGTCGGTAAAAGGGAGGGTTAATCTGCCTGGCAATGGCCATTTTATTCTACTGATTGAACTAGCGTGGCTCTGGGGTTGGGGATGCACGTGGTGAGGTGAGGAGAGGAGTGGGGAAATGGGAGGCTGAAAAACAGAAAAGCCCCCAGGATCAGGGCCTGGGACCTCAGGGGACCCGGAGCATGGACACAACCATTCATCGGAGACCCTAGGTCCTGGGGATAGAGCAGTGAGCCCAAAAGACCCAGTGCCTGCCCTCAGGAGCTCACTGTGGACACACCCGGGCCCGTGGGCCTCTCAGCTGGGGGTGCGTCAGGTCTTCTCGGGCCCCAGAGGGGGTGGCCTCAGCCGGTCCCTGTGTGTGCCCCTTGCAGGTGTTCTCCGTGGCGCCCCCATTTGAGGTGAACGGTCTCCCACGAGCTGTGCCTCTGAGCCTGCCCTACCAGGACTTCAAGAAAGACCTCTCCGACTACCGCGAGCGGGCGCGGCTGCTCCACCGGGTCCGGAGAGTGGGCTTCTCGCACATGCTCCTCGCCACCCCCCAGATCCCGCTGACTCCTGTTCAGCCTCAAGCTAATGGGAAGGAGGGAGAGGAGGAGGATGAGGAAGAAGATGAAGAAGAGGAAGAGGAGGAGGAAGAGGACGAGGAGGAAGAGGAGGAAGAGGAGGACGAGGAGGACCAGGAAGAGGTGGAGGACGTGGAGGAGGAGGCAATAGCCCTGGGGGAGGCACTGGGGCCTCGCAGTGGCTCCAGCAGTGAGGGGAGCGAGAGGAGCACCGACCGGAGCCAGGAGGGCGCCCCGTCCACGCTGCTGGCTGATGACCAGAAGGAGTCCAGGGGCCGGGCCTCCATGGCTGACGGGGACCTGGAGCCTGAGGAGGGCTCCAAAACGCTGGTGCTCGTCTCCCCTGGTGACATGAAGAAGTCGCCTGTCACTGCCGACCTGGCCCCTGACCCTGACCTGGGCACCCTGGCTGCCCTCACTCCTCAGAACGAGCGGCCCCAGCCCACCGGCAGCCAGCTGGACGTGTCTGAGCCAGGCACCCTGTCCTCCATCCTCAAGTCTGAGCCCAAGCCCCCCGGGCCTGGGACAGGGCTGGGGACCGGGGCAGTCACCGCAGGGGCAGGGGGAGTGGCAGTCACCTCCTCACCCTTCACCAAAGTTGAGAGGACCTTTGTACACATTGCAGAGAAAACCCACCTCAACGTCATGTCTTCCGGTGGGCAAGCCTCACGGCCTGAGGAGCTCAGCTCTGGGGGCGAGCTGGGCCTGGAGGTGCCCTCTGAGGAGAGGGCTGCAGAGGAGGGGACCTCTGTGCCCCTGGAGAATGGTATTCCCCAGTCAGGGCTGGAGAGCTGTGCCCTGCCTGGCCCTCCTGGGGACACCCCCATGGAGGTGGCCATGGACTCACTGCCCAGTGGATCACCCCTTGTCGATGGGCCAGCCCCAGCATCCCCGCTGGAACCAGACCCCGAGAAACTGGCCACCATCTCCCCCAGCCACCGTGCCATGCCAGGCCCTCGCTGCAGGAGCCGCATCCCTGTGCTGCTGTCGGAGGAGGACACTGGTTCGGAGCCCTCAGGTTCACTGTCGGCCAAAGAGCGGTGGGGCAAGCGGGGGAGACCCCAGCAGGACCTGGCCCGGCTGGTGATGGAGAAGAGGCAGGGCCGCCTGCTGCTGCGGCTGGCCTCTGGGGCCTCCTCCTCCTCCAGCGAGGAGCAGCGCCGCGCCTCTGAGACGCTCTCGGGCACAGGCTCCGAGGAGGACATGCCGGCCTCTGAGCCCTCGGTGCCCAGGAAGGCCGGGCGGGCGGCTGCCACCCGGAGCCGGATTCCCCGCCCCATCAGCATCCGCATGCCCACACCTGCCCCAGCCCAGCAGTCCCCTGGCAGACCCCATGGTGCGGCCCCAGCATCGGACACAGCCATCACCAGCAGGTGAGAAACCACCGCCAGCCCCAGGGTGGGCAGAGGGCGACCACAGAAGGCCTGCACCAGCAGGGGCTTCCCCAGGCGAAGGTCAGGGGCTATCGAAGACTCAGGAAGGCCCCTCGAATGTACCTCCTGTCCACCACCAACTGAGTCTCTCTTCTGACTCCGTTCCCAGTCCTGTCCCTGGGCTCAAGGGGGTGGAGACAGTGAGCAGGCCTGGAGGGGTGCCAGGGAGGCCAGGTTTGGGAAAGGCTGACTGGGGCCTCTGGTGTGTCATGGGGCGTTTGAAGCCAAAGGAGAAAGCTCAGAATAGTCAGGAGGAAACTTCATTCACATGAACATAAACAAGGGTATATTACAGAGCAGAATGTAAAATCCATGGGAATTTGAAAGATGAAATAGAGATGCCGAAGAAAGCCTGCAGGGAGCAGCCGGGGAGTGTTCGGCCCCTAGAAGTCCTGCCCCGGGCAATCGGCTCAGTTTATTTCTGTGTCAGGTCTCAAGCAGGTCTGTGGATACAAGGCTCTAGGGCTCAGTGCGATTCTGAAAATGTCTCTGCTTCCCCCCTCCTCCTCCCGCAGGCTCCAGCTGCAGAAGCCTCCAGGGTCGGCCACTGCTGCCGACTTCCATCCCAAACAGCCCCTTGGCCGGGGCCAGGGCCCAGGGCGAGGCCAAGCCAGCACCAGGCCCACAGCCCCGCGCAGTCCGGGCCTCCCTGCCTCCACCGCGCGCAATTCCAGCGCGTCCCCCCGCAGCCAGTCCCTGTCCCGCAAAGAGAGCCCCTCACCCTCGCACCAGGCCCGGCCTGGAGGGCCCCCACCCCGAGGCGCTTCACAGGCCCGGGCCGAGCCTGATGGCACCCCCTCCCTAGGGGGGCCCAAGAAAGGACCCAGAGGGAAACTCCAGACTCAGCGCGCAGCAACCAAAGGCCGGGCAGGTGTCGCGGAGGGCCGGGCCGGGGCCAGATAATGACGCGCGGGCTCTGTGTGGGCCCCCACCCTCACTCCAGCCCCCAACCCGCAGCCGGCCACACTGGATCAGCTCCCAGCACAGCCTTACGCGCCCGACGCGCCACCCGCGGCCCCAGCTTCCTGCCTGCACCCGCCGTGCTCGCCCCAGCCAGGCTCCACCGGTGGGGGCACCTCGCCGCAGGGGTAGAGCTCGCCTCCCTTCCTTCCCCAGTCACCTCCCGCCTCCTGCCGCCCGCCCGTCCGCCGGAAGGCTCAGCCACTCTTCTCGGAGGACCCCGCTAATCGGGACAGCCCGCTCTCCCGCCAGGCCTCTGCTGCTCTCCTTGCTCCACCCCGACACACCTCTGCTTACACCTCCTACAGAGCCTTTCCCTCCTCCCAACCCTCTTCCAGCCAAAGCCCCCCTTTCAGAAAGGCAGCCTCAATTTCCCCAAGTGGAGGCTCCAGCCTCCCCAAGAGGCCAGCCCCACAGTCCCCTGGGAAGGACCACTTCTCAGCTGGGAGTCTTGGGGCTGGGGAGGTGGGACCTAGGGCCATTGGTCTACTCAGGTGTGAGGGGGCAGGTATGACCTGCCCCGGAGCTCCATCCTGGACACCCTGTGGGAGGCAGTGAGCAGTGTGGGGGTTGCTCTAAAGTGCAAGTCCCCCCACCCCCTGTATTTGGGTGGGGCCTCAGTGGGAGCCACAGGGTGTGGACTGCCTGCCTGGGCCTGTATTTCCCAGTGGGAAGTTGGAGGAAGGGCTTTAAAGAAGTTTCACTGGTCCTTGGCCCCCATCTAGTGCTCAGGACCCCTCAGCATCCGGAATTCCTTATCGCCATCTAACTCAATCTTGCCTCCTGCAGTCTCAGCCAACTCCCTTCTCTCCTGGGTTCAGTGGAGGTGGAGAGTGGCTGCTCATCATCTCTCGCTGGCCCTTTGGAGATTCAGGGACACAGTTCTGGCCAGGCCACCCTCCCTGTTCTCCTGGCTGTGACCATCATGTCCCCCTGTGGGCAGAGAGAGCAGAAACAGACAGACAGACAGACAGATGACAGCTGGCCCCTGGACTCAAGGCAGAAAGGCCCTTCTAACTTCCAGATTATATGCTTGTGTGATGGGTCCAGCCCAAGTCCTCTCCTCCCCAGCTCACCCTTAGCTCATCCCTCTTGTCATAATCCCACACCATGCAGCCGAGCTGTCCCTGCAGAGATGTGAGGACTGCTCTGCTCCGTGAGTGATATGGGGCCTCCTCCTCGGTCTGGCTCCTGCATAGCTCTCACCCCGGCTCATCACAAGCCTCAACTGTCCACATCTGGGCCAACCAGTACACTGGCTGCAGAAGGGACAGCCAAACCTGCTTATCTGGGACAGGTCCTGGCAGGCCTCCTCCATGCTCAGCACCCACAGCCTCTGTCCCCTGACCTGCCCTTTCTGTTTTACCCTGGGTCATGGAGAACAAGGCCGACAACCAGGGAAAGAGGAAGAAAGGCCCCTGCTATGCCCCAGTGATCTGGCAGCACCCAGCCACCATCGCTTGAAAGGATGCCCACGAGGAAGGTGACCCAGGGAGCAGCCTGGCGATGCCCGCTGAAGCCCTTCATGGAGAGGCAGCAGGCTTGGGCAGCTGCTTCCATGCCGAGGTGGTGGCATCTCTGCAGACCAGCCTAGGGGAGGACTCCAGGGTGGACAGCCCCCGAGGTCCACCCCACGCTGACGCAGAAGCTCCCAGAACACTCAGGAAACCTCTCTGGACAGAGCCCTCTTTGTCAACCCGAGACCCTCCCAAGACCTCTACTGCCCTCTGGGTCCAGCAGAGGGGGTGGAGAAGGGGCCATGCCCTCCCACCTAGAGCTTCTCTGAATGACAATCAGCTCCTGCCAGGTGGGGACCAGGGCATGACCCCTGGTACCCAGGTCCTGGGCCTGCTCCTTGCTACCAACCGAACTGTGAATGTAGGGCCCCAGACTCACCCCTGCCCCAGGACCAACAACACCCTGGTTTGGTGTTGGGAGGAAAAGGGGGTGACCTGAGAGAGCCCAGGCCCATCCTACCGTCCTGCTTCACCCCGCACCGAAGGTGGGCAGAGCTGCAAAATCCTGTCTGTCCTTGGGAAACCAGACCTCCCCAGGGCTCCTAACTGACCTCAGGCCTCTGCGTCATTGAATGTCACCAGAGTTGGGAAGGAGGAGCAGGGGCGAGTGTGGGAGGAGGCTAGAGGATTCTGCTTCTCTCCCCAGGAAGGATCCAAGGCAGAGGAAACCATGTCTCCCAGTGCCCCACCCCCAGCTGCAGCCTCTTCTCCCTTGAGCACCATCCCCTCCACCAAGCTCTGCAGGTCCTGAGCCCCTTCTCTGTCAGAGTGTCACACCACCACCACCACCACCACCACCGCACTCCAGCTCTTCCTCATGACAGCCCCTGTCACTGGCTCAGATGCGGGGCTGCCCACCCCAGACATGCCTTCCCTCCCCAGCCTCACTGTGCACCAAGAGGGTGCAGGAGATGTACCCCAGGCACATGGCGCCCCCTTCCCAGCTCCTCACAGGGGCCTGGCTTGCTCCGTCTTCTCTGGGGACCGGCCCCGGTGGGCTGGGGTTGGGGACAGGGAGTTGCCCTCCCCTTCTCCAGGGAAGCCACAGAAGAATGTTTACATGCCAAACAGAATGTAACACCCGCCCCCAGTCACTGCATGGCCTCTGCCCACCCTGCACCTGTCCACCCCTACCCCAACATCCAGGAAGCCGCTGTCATGATTAGATCGGGTCTCAGAGGGAAGTAGCCATCACACCATTAAAAAGCCTGTGGACCTTTCTTTCTGTTGGCCTGGACTCTTCTTCCGTTGGGGGAGAGGGCAGAGACCGGGCCCTGGGCTGGGGCGGGCAGGAGAGAAGAGCACAAGTTGGTGGGCAAATGTGGCCGTGGACGGACTGTCATGGAGGCGGACTGTCTCTACCAGCAGAAATGGAAGCTTGGAGGATGCAGGTAACCTGCTCAGGGTCGCACTGGTGGGAGGGACTTCCTGCTGCCTCTGATGGCAAAGCTGCGCCCTCTCTGCTCGCTTGGCTGTCTGACCAAGGGCCAGAGACTCTCAGTCTAGCTTTGTGCAGAGAAAGGGAGGAAAATTTGTCAGTGCCCAGAAGTTAACAGATAAAAATGAATGTGTTTGGAAAACCATGAAGTACAACAGCTCACAGGCAAGGAAGGACAATGGTCACTATTCTAGCAAAATCTATGAAAATCACAAATGAACGTAGCCTGTGGCTCAGCCCTTCTAGAAAGGTATCCTACACTCACAAGATTGGGTGTCTAAAAGTATTCATTGCAGCATTCTCTGTATAGTTCCACAAAGCCTCACCTCAATTCTGAAGCCCAAAAAGTTCTGAAAACTGGAAGTTTTTCCATTATTTTGGCACAAGTCTCTGACAAGACTATTTGTAGTCTTTTTAAAAAAAATTATATTTTTCCTTTCAAAAAATTTTATTGTTGTTGATTTCAGAGAGAAAAGGAGAGGGTTAGAGAGAAACATCAATGATGAGAGAGAATCTTTGATCGGCTGCCTCCTGCACACACCCCACCAGGGATCAAGTCCAAAACCCAGGCATGTACCTGACCGGAAATCGAACCGAGTCCTCCTGGTTATAGGTGAACACTCAAACATTGAGCCAAACTGGCCGGGCTATCGTCATTGTTAATTCCACTTATCATACATGTTTGCAGTGGAAATAATACTGTGATTATGGAGTGCTGTCTTAGATTCTATGAGGGGTTTTCATAATGTATGGAATATACACTGAATTGCCTTTTTAAATAGTATATACACATGTGTTTGAATTGTAAAGAAATCGGGTAAGAGACTGTGGACCTGTAAAAGCAGAAGTTCAGATGTAATTTTAATGCCTGGTTGTTGGGGCTCAGTATATCGAGCCACCCATACGATGGGGACCCCACTGTCTGGTATTGTGAAGTGTTTACTGCAGGTGGCTCTTTGTAGACACTTTCGACTGGTCTCTAAGAGAGTAAAAAAAATGTGTGTATAATGTGCAACTATTTATCTTTTATTTTATTTTTTATAAAAATATATATTTTTTATTTCAGAGAGGAAGGGAGAGGGAGAGAGAGAGAGAAACATCAATGATGAGAGAGAACCATTGATTGGCTGCCTGCTGCACACCCCACACTGGGGATGTGCCCACAACCCGAGCATGTGCCCCTGACCGGAATCAAACCTGGGACCCTTCTGCCCACAGGCCGACGCTCTATCCACTGAGCCAAACTGGCTAAGGCTAATGTGCATCTATTTAGATGAGTTAGAGGTCTCGAATTGCTTCTGGGAGGCAAGCAAGGGGGAAGGGGGTTTTACAGTAGTGTATTTGCAGTACCTTTTGCATTTTGGACCCTACATTCACTAAGTGTGAATCTTTCATCTGGATAATACCATAAACAATTTCGGTCCCAGGGCAGGCTCCTGGCCCTGCCTGGGGTCTGAGGTAAGAGAGCCCAGGCTCCAAACTCATGCTCTCCCCCTGAGAAGACCATCAGACACAGCTCTAACACCCCAGAACCCATGTAACCACCTTCTGTGCCCCACAGGGGCCTCCTGGAACCCCCTTTCTCTGGCATGGGTGCCGGGGGGCTCTTGGGCCTGATTCACCAGCCTTGAGTAAGGTGCTCACATGCTTTCGTCTTCCTCCTTGTTCAAAAATGTCAAAAGCAAGCCATGTTTGCAGTAAAAAGGCAAATGCTAAAAGCGTATAAACTGCCCTAGCTGGTTTGGGTCAGTGGATAGAGTGTCGGCCTGCGGACTGAAGGGTCATGGGTTCGATCTCTGGTCAGGGTACATGCCCATGTTGTGGGGTTGACCCCAGTAGGGAGCGTGCAGGAGGCAGCCGATCAATGATTCTCTCTCATCATTGATGTCTCTCTCTCTCTCTCTCTCTCTTTCTCTCTCTCTCTCTCTCTCCCTCCCCTTCTTTCTCCCCCTTCCTCTCTGAAATCAATAAAAAAAAATATTTTTAAAAAGCATATAAACTAAAACATGAAAGCCCCCTATCTATATGGAATATGATCATGTAAAGGTAGTATATTTAGAGTTGTGCAACCATCACCACAATCAGTGTCAGAACATTTCCATCACCCACTAACAATCACTCGCATTTTCCCCCAACTCCTCCGGACCTAAGCAACCACCAACCTACTACTTTCTGTCCCTGTATAGATTTTTTTATTTTGGACATTTCATATAACTGGAATCCCACAATATGTCGTTCTTTGTAACCACCTCCTTTCACTTAGCATGTTTTCAAGGTTCATCCATGTGGTAGCATGTATCAGTACTTCATTCTTTTTTATGGCTGAATAACATTCTGCTGTATGGACAGACCACATTTGTTCATCCATTCATCATGGACTTGGGTTTTTTTTTTTTTCTCCCTGTTGGCTATTCTGAATAATGCTGCTATGAATGTTTGTTTGCAAGTGTTTATGCGGGCATACGTTTTCATTTCTCTTGGATATATATCCTGTGAAAATATCCAAAATAGAATTGCTGGGTCATATGGTAACTCTATGTTTAACATTTTGGGACATTATGAAGCTTTTCCACAGTGGCCACACCACTTTCCATTCCCACCAGTAATGTATGAGGATCCTTACGTCCTTTTTAATAGCTACTTAGTAATCCATGACATGAATGTTCCACCTCCGCATCTACTTAGCCAGCTCCATGCTGATTTTCATTAGATTTTTTCCAAGTTTTTACTATTTCAAATAGTGCCGCAATTAAAATCCTTGCTTTGATGTTTGTTACTTTTCTAAGTCTAATTCTAGCAAAAATCCCCAGAATAATCAAATAGATGAAAAATTATATCTTGTTCTATTTTTTAAAATATATTTTATTGATTTTTTACAGAGAGGAAGAGAGAGGGATAGTTAGAAACATCGATGAGAGAGAAACATCGATCAGCTGCCTCTTGCATGCCTCCCTACTGGGGATGTGCCCGCAAGCAAGGTACATGCCCTTGGCTGGAATCGAACCTGGGACCTTTCAGTCCACAGGCCAATGCTCTATCCACTGAGCCAAACTGGTCAAGGCTCTTGTTCTATTTTTAATTTATTTTATTATTGAGAATGAAAGAATTCTATGGATCATTCATTATTTTGCATTCCTTTAATCATTCATTCATCCAATTAATTCTGCAGCCTATTGCTGAGCCCCACATGTACCAAAGGCTGCCAGAGATGGGGAATTGAAACAGTGCACAGTGAGCTGGGAAGGAGGGGGTTGTAAATTAACTTCCATTTTACATGTGCTATGTACGTTGACACACAAGATTCAGGCAGACTCCCAGCCCAGACTGGGAGCTTCAAGGAAGGCTTTCAGATCAATGTGACTCTTACACTGAATTTTGAAAGATAAACAAGAGTTAGCCAGGTAAAGAGCAGAGGACATTCTCGCAGAGGGAGCAGCATGGGCAAGGAAGTTGTGAAGGTGTGAGAACTGCTTGTGGTTCAGTGTGGTCAGAGGTGTGAATTGGGGAGCAGAGAGAGGAGTGAAGGGGGCAGGAGCAGGTCTGAGGCAGGGGTAGGCTGTGCCCAGGAGGATGGCTTTAGAGCTAAGTTTGCAGAGAACCCCCTACCCTCCCTCCCTCCCTCCCCCCCCCCCCCCAGGAGCCCGAGACCTTTCAGGCACACTCACTTCCCAAGGCCCAGTTAGGGCCTACCTGATGCTTCACCATGTTAGGACCTGCCCAGCCCCTGGCAGACCTTTTTTTTTTTTTTTTTTTTTTTAATATATTTTTATTGATTTCGGAGATGAAGGGAGTGGGACAAAGAGATAGAAACATCAATGATGAAAGAGAATCACTGATTGGCTGCCTCCTGCCCACCCCACACTGGGGATCAAACCCACAACCTGGGCATGTCTAGACCAGAATTGAACCTGAGACCCCTCAATCCGCAGGCTGCTCTATCCACTGAGCCAAACCAGCCAGGGCCTGGCCGGCCTCTTCCCCACTCCCCCAGAAAGATATTTCTCTTTTCTGTCCTGTGGCCAACTGAGCTCTGAGGACAGGGGCACAGAGAAATAAGTGGCTTGAGCAAGTTTGCTCAGTCAGGAGCTAGCTACATAGGGGCTACAAGATCAGAGACATTGGAGGGGCGTTTGTTAATGGGGAGGAAAGGTCCCTTGAGGACACCCTGGAGAAAAGGGACAAAGGTGGGAGTGTGAAGGGTGTCATGTCTCTGACCAGCAGACACTGGGGCCTGCTGATATTTTCCCATTGGCTACTCTTGTCCTGGCATCAAGACCAGGACAAGAGCTGAGACTAACTCAATATTGAAGGGAAGTCAAAACAACTTCTAAGACCTCAGCAGATGTAGGAGCTTGATCATTGCCCATGGTAATGAGGTGATGGGGTGGAGAGTCAGCAAGGTCATGGGAACTGGGCCGTAGGTTAGAAGGAAATATAATACAAGCGCATTTTCATCAGCCCCAGGTGGCATCTTCTGCATTCCTCCTTATCCCATGGAGTAGTAAACTCAAAGTGGTGTGACATCACCCATTATACTATCAATTTTATCATAATCATTACTATCTCCCTTATCCACCTCTGACTCTCCTACCCACCATTCCAGCACCATCATCACTCAAATCACAGATACCCTTCTCCCAAACTAGGCTCCATCACCACCATCATTGCTATCACCATTACCACCACTTTCATGACTACAACCACCACCACCATCAGTACCATCTATACAATCCTCATCATCACAACTGCCCTCATAACCACATCACTATTACCATTATCCCTAGCCCCATACCTTCATCCTTACTTCAATAACCCCATCACCATCATTTCTACCATCAGTATTCCCACCTCCATCACTACTACACCATCTCATCATCATACTTACCATTACAATGATTCCATCAGTACCATCATCAACATAGGAAATGATTACATGGGTTCTTGCAATGGGTAATGGTCAGTGAAACCCCAAGATAGGGAGGTTAGCTGAGGTCACTCAATGCAGAGGGGAGTAAAAGAGTAAGAAGTCCTAAAGTATAAGAAGTCTCTATTGCAAGCAATCCCAAATAGGGAATTGTTTGTCTTAGGAACTCATTCTTCCCCAAATCTTCTAACAGTTCTAGTAATAATTTCAACTATTGTTATTTTTCCAGTGCACAAGGTTCCTTCCCATCTAGTCTGGTATAAATGAAGGTCTCCTCCATCTTGGCCTCTGAGCTCAGGTTTGGATTTCCAGGTGGGAGGAGGATGGGGATAGTTAAAAATTTAATCAAAACAAGTTCTTAACTGGTGATTCAGAGCTTATCTGCCTTCTGGTTAGACTCTTGGAATTTCATACCTTGCCTGTCCAGATCTATCATCTGCCTCTACACATCATGGTCATTGTCACCATCATTCCTTGATGCCATCAGAGAGGCGAGCCACCATATGGGCTGAAGGCAAGGAAGTAAGATGAAACTAGGCGTACAGTTAATGCCAAAATTACTCGCTGTAGAAAGGAGCTGCAGATTTAGATCTGGGTTTCCTAGGCGCCAGTGCAAAGAGGGAAAGGTGACCATTACATGACTATCAGCTATTTTTTATGTTAAGGCAGGAGAGAAATCCCCATTGTGAAAACAAAGGCATCACAGCCAATGCCCAGGGCTGGCCTCATGGTTGTTGTCTCAGTCTGTGGAAAAACCTGAGTCGTCCCCTGTGGAGCCACTGAATGAACCATAGAAATGAGATGGCAGCAAAACTTACCTCCCAGGAGCTGCAAAGTGTTGTGGTGTTTTATATTTTAATATAAATAATATGATTATACTAGAGGCCCGGTGCACAAAAATTTGTGCACTTGGGGGGGGGGGGTCCCCAGTCTGTGCCCTCTCGCAGTCTGGGACCCCTCAGGGGATGACCACCTGCTGGCTTAGGCCCGCTCCCTGGGGGATTGGGCCTAAGCTGGCAGTCAGACATCCTTCTGGCAGCCTGGAAGCCCTTGGGGAATGTCCACTTGCCAGTGGGGACCAGGCCTAAGCTGCAGTTGGACATCCTTAGTGCTGCTGAGGAGGTGGGAGAAGCTCCCACCACCACTGCTGTACTGGCAGCCGTCAGCCTGGTTTGTGGCTGAGCAGAGCTCCCCCTGTGGGAGCGCACTGACCACCAGGGGGAAGCTCCTGCATTGAGCATCTGCCCCCTGGTGGTCAGTGTGTGTCATAGTGGCCAGTCATTCCCAGTTGTTCTGTTATTAGGGTCAATTTGCATATTACCCTGTTATTATACAGGAGTGCCTGGCCAGCCTGGGTGAGGGGCTGATGGCTGTTTGCAGGCTGGCCACAGCCCCTTCAGGGTGGGGATCCCCACTGAGGTGCCTGGCCATCCTAGGTGAGGGGCTGAGGGCCGTTTTCAGGCTGGCTAAGCCCCCGAGCAGGGACCCTCACCCCATGAGGGTGTGGCCATCCTGGGTGAGGGGTTGATGGCTGTTTGCAGGCTGGCCACAGCCCCCAGCCATCCAAGCTCCCAGTGGAGGCTGGCTGGAAGCAGGTATCTGGGATTTGTTTATCTTCTATAATTGAAACTTTGTTGCCATGAGCGGAGGCCACTGTTGGCTCAGGGCTGGCAGGAAGCTTGGCTTCCTCCATCACCCGGGCCACCAAGCCTTCTGCTTGCTCCAGCTCCGTGGCTGCCGGCCGCCATCTTGGTTGGGTTAATTTGCATATAGTCGCTCTGATGGGCTGGTGGGTGTTGCTTAGGGCATGGCAAAGGTGTGGTCAATTAGCATCTTTGTCTTTTATTAGTGTAGATAATATTAAATGTAATATTAAGTGTGGGATCACATGTGAGTGATAGCAAATGGAACAGGAGTGGTCTTACCCTTGAGCTGGTCTCCAGAATGCCTTGGGCATCCACCAGAGGAATAAGACGAAGGCCAGTGGTGCAAGGTGTGAGGTGCCAACAGGCTGGTGTGTTTGGGGAACTGGAGGGAAGGGGGCCTTGTTGGGAGGGGCCAGAGGCAGGTGGAGAGAAGCCAGTCTTGGGGTCATATGGGTCAAGCTAGGGAGTTGGACTTTTGTTGGGGTCCAGCCCCAGCAGGTCCAGGGGTTCCCAAAGGTGTGGACGGAGTTGGCAAAGAATAAAGGATATGGAGGCAGCGTTCAGATCATCAGCATAGTTGGGTTCTCTCTTTATTGTCCTGTTACATCTGTATTTATACCATTTGATCCTATATAAGCATGCCTCTATAATCACATCAGGGTATGTTTTGGGTAACCTTCTACAGTTCCTTGTTTCATTTCCATAGTTTCTTATCTGACTTTTGCCAAAAATCTTGTCTCTATCTAGTTCTGTTGATTTTAATCTTGTCTAGGTTAATCTCTGTGTTCCATTATAAGGGCTATTCCAAGGTCACAATTCTACTCCTCTACTGATAAGCTACAAGGAAGTGACTGAAGGAGATTATCCTACCCAGTAAAGGTTATGTCCTCCCAGCCCCGCTGCTTGCCTTCCCTGGGACTTCCCTGTGTCGGTGGGTCTCCAGGGGTATAGGCTTTGGTGCTTTCCCTGGTGGGCAGACCCCTGAGGATGTGGGCCCAACAAGTCCCAAATTTATTGCCAACAGTCTTAGTCCAAGTTCTTCATAAGTAGTACATGGTATTTCTGTAACACTAAGGAGTTTTACTGATTTATTCTCTTCCTTAGTCCTGTTAATCCCTAACTCCAGGGAAAAATCCCCACCTGGGAAAACAGCCTTTCTCAGGGAGGTGGTTCTGGTTATAACACATAGTGCTAAAAAAGGGGGAGCAAACATATTAAGAACAGTATGCCGTATACTCCAGATACCTTGAAACATATGCTATGCAGATGTTTCTTCCCTGCAGTGACTGGGTCAAGCAACAAGGATGGACCAGCTTCCGGCAGACTTTCACCCTCCAGCAGTGAGAGATGGGGAAGGCTTTAAGCAGAGACACTCCTCTATAACATTTGTTCTGAAATGTTCATTGTGGCAGGTATGTGGAGAGTGGGTTGAAAGAGGTGAGATAAGTTAGGAAGGTTTATGTAACTCATTTGAACCCACCTGCTAGACTGCACCCTCACTGAGGGCAGGGATTGTGTCTGAGACATCTTTGTACCTCACTCTAGTGGGGTAGCACTAGAGACTCAACAAATATCTCTTACTCTTATCACCTCCTGTCACCACCTCCAAATCACTGCCCTCACCCCCATGCCTGTTATACCACCATGAACACACCGTGTCACTGACAGCCCTTTCCTCAGAGCTCTGTGAGGGTGCCCAGCCCAGTGCAGACTGGAACATCCCTAGCTCAGCAGCTGAGGTCAAAGTCCTGGGCCAGAGTCAGGGGTCCTAGTCCCCTCTTCAGTTCTGCTGCTGAGTCACCGTGTGATCCCAAGCAAGCCACACACCCCATTTCCTTATCTGTTCAAAGTGGGGGCTATATGAAATTTATCATTTTCAATTTTTTTTTTTAGAAAACTTGGGCTCTTAGAAGCCTATTTGCTGCCCAGCTGGCGTGGCTCTGTGGTTAAGCATCAACCTCAGAACCAGGGGTCATGGTTTGATTCCTGGTCAGGGCACATGCCCAGGTTGCATGCTTGATACCCAGTGTGGGGTGTGCAGGAGGCAGCCGATCAATGATTCTCTCTCATCATTGATGTTTCTCTCCCTCTCTCTTCCTCTCCGAAATCAATAAAAATATATTTTAAAAAAGAAGAAGCCTATTTGCTTAGAAACCTGGAGCCCTTGGAACACAATTTGATAACTTCCCAGCTCTGCCGACCTGGTGTTTGGAGAATCAGATCAGAAACACTTGGCATTGCTGGTTTCTGCTGTGCTTTTGTGGCAGGGCTGTGAGAGAACTGAGTGGGGAAGACAGACACATGCCGAGGCTTCGGCATTACACTTACCTGTGGCAATCCCTCTCCTTCCTCACCACGCCCTCGGGGTAATCTAGGAAGCTCTTGGAAATAGGGGTGGGGGCAGGCAGGAGGGACTGTGGGTATAGGAAGAGCCCCTGAGTGAAGAAGGGGGAGGGTGATGGGTCTGGGATCCCCAGATTGGCCAGGCTGGTCAGTGTGGTTCCAGGTGTGTCTCAGGCCAGGGCATAAGCTCCAGGTGGGGACATAAATCTGAGAGGGTACAGAGAACACTCGTAGCTCAGCAGTAAAAACCCTTCACCTGGTTTTGAATCCTGGGCTGCTGTCCAGGCTGTGGTTGCAAATAGGCAAGGCTCACCTGGGTTTCATAGGACAAAGGGCATCCAAGGAGGTCTGGCACCATGCCGGGGAGACTCCTCCTCTTCGGGATCCTTGAAGCTCTGCTGATCAAGGGGCTATGGGCTCAGCTCCTACATACCCAGCTACCCATCATGGCAGCCCACGGTTACCCCACTTAGTCCCTGAGCACTAATATATCAGTCCCAGAGCCATGGAGTCAGTGACCCCTGAATGGATGGCAGCCCCCTCCCTCACAGACACTGGGCTGCACAGGCAGGGATCCCAAGGTGGCCAGGGAAGGCCCAGTCCTGGGCCAGCCTCCAAGGGCTGGATTGTGGCTGCAGGCTCCCTGCCCATTAGTCTATTTGCTCCCGCCTCCAGAGTCCAAGGGTCCATATGGTGGGTGGACTGAGCTGTGCTGACTACTACATAGGGAGCCCACACGGGGGACAGCTATTTGTGGGTGGCATGGGATTCGAGGAGCTGCTAGAGCAGGTGGGTGGCTTTGGCCCCTTCCAACTGCGCAATGTGGCCCTGCTGGCCCTGCCCCGAATTCTGCTGCCCATGAACTTCCTCCTGCCCATCTTCCTGGCTGCTGTGCCTGCCCACCACTGTGTCCTGCCTGGTGCTCCTGCCAACTTCAGCCAGGACATGTGGCTGGAGGCCCACCTTCCCCGGGAGTCGGATGGCACACTCAGCTCCTGCTTCCGCTTCACCTACACCCAGGCCCTCCCCAACACTACGCTGGGGGGAGACGGGCAGAGTCGTGGGGAGCTGCAGGGTGAGCCCTCCACAGTGCCATGCCCTCAGGGCTGGGAGTACGACCACTCGGAGTTCTCCTCCACCATTGCAACGGAGGTACCTGAGCCAGGAGGCGGGGGGACACGTGAGTGGGATGGGTCTCATTATTTTACTTCTCAGAGTCTGTTTTCCCCTCTGTCGATATATTAATTTAAAGCAGAGGTTGTAGTAATGCGAGCTGCTATTATTAATTGGGTGGTAATTACGGCAGGAAAGGGCTGAGGTAGCTCTAGGGAGCTGGGGCTGAGAGTTGAGAAGGGTGTTTCTGCAGTAAGAGGTGGAGAAACAACAGAAGCCTCCTTCTCTTTCTGCCTCATTTGGACCCCTGGTCTAGGATTTACAGAATCTGTCTGTAAATGGAGGTGCATGTAGGTGGGGAAAGAATCTCTCTGGGGAGGTACAGGTCTCCTGTTGTCATAGTCAAGGCCTTCCGTGGGAAGAAGCTGCAGCTGCAGGATTGGGGAGGGACAAAGTCTCCCACCCCCAAGCTGAGGGGAACAGTTAGAGGTTTATTGTCTGACATGGAGGTACAAGGATGGCACAGTTGACCTCAGAAGTATCCAGGGTCTGGAGTGGAGGGGTTGGTGCCAGTTGGGGAGGGGCCTGTGCCCATGGGAGGCCCCTCGTTGCCTGTCCCTGCAGTGGGACCTGGTGTGTGAGCAGAAAGGCCTGAACAGAGCCACTTCTACCTTCTTCTTCATCGGTGTGCTGGTGGGGGCTGTGGCCTTCGGATACCTGTCTGACAGGTGGGGTGAGGTGGGGGGTTAATAAGGGAGTGGGGTGGAGAACCTTCTCCCACTAGCTGGGGTCTGGGCCTAGTCGACCTCTGTCTTGGGACCTCCCCTCTTCAGGGAACTAACTCTGCATGACCCCTGTGTAGGTTTGGGCGGCGCCGTCTGCTGCTGGTGGCCTATGTGAGTGCCCTGGGGATGGGCCTGGCATCTGCAGCCTCAGTCAGCTACATCATGTTCGTCATCACCCGCACCCTCACTGGCACAGCCCTGGCTGGCTTCACCATCATCGTGATGCCACTGGGTGAGGCAGGCAAAGAACGGGCAGGGCTCACAGAGCTGGAGGGAGGCAGTTGTCAAGGATGAGACTGAGCCATGTGTCCCTGGCTAACTGCCCTCCTGTCTCTGGCTGTGGACAGAGTTGGAGTGGCTGGACGTGGGACACCGCACCGTGGCAGGGGTCCTGAGCAGCACCTTCTGGACGGGGGGAGTGATGCTGCTGGCGCTCGTCGGGTACCTGATACGGAACTGGCGGTGGCTTCTGCTGGCTGTCACCTTGCCTTGCGTCCCAGGCATCATCAGCCTCTGGTGAAGCCTGTGGGCAGCTGGGGAGTGAGAAGAAGCCAGAGACAGAATAATCAGGGGCTGAGATTCGAAGACAGTGAGACTGAGACAAAGAGAATGAAAAACAGTCCATGACCCAGAGACAGAGACCAATACACGAGATGCAGAGAAACACAAAACAAAATATAAAGAGAGAGAGAGAGAGACAGACAGACCAGTGAGAGAGAATGAGTGACAGAGCCCAGGGCTGAGAGGCAGGTTCAGAGAGGCAGGTGGAGATGGATGCAAGAGGGACATGAGAGACAGAGCCAAGCACAAACTGAGGCTGGTGCCCTGGAGGACAGCCAGCATGGAGTAGGAAGGCCAAGTAGAGGGAAGGCGGGCAGTGTGGGCATTTCATTGCCTCCCCCAAATGAGCTGGGTTTGAATGACACCTCTGGGTCTGTCTCTCATTCATCCTATGCCCTCCTGTCACCTGTGGGAGAAGTGGGTGGCTGGTCCTGGGGGCTGAGGTCTTGGGGGTGACACCAATTCGGTTGAATAGAAAAGTGACTCTGGGCTATGGAGAACCTAGGCCTGGGGAAAGGTGGCTTCTAAGTTGGGCCTTAAAACGAATAAAAGTTCATCAGGTGAGGAGGGTTGGGAAGATGCTGCAGGCTGAGAAACAGCTTGTGGTGTGCCCAGGAGGGAGACATAACTTAGAGTGCTGACTGAAGGGCCTCCTGCTGTCCCCCAGGTGGGTGCCTGAGTCTGCACGCTGGCTTCTGACTCAGGGCCGTGTGGAGGAGGCCCACAGGTACCTGCTCTGCTGTGCCAGGCTCAATGGGCGGCCTGTGGGTGAGGACAGCCTGAGCCTGGAGGTGAGGGTGAATGTGTGTGTGAGAGCATGCAAGTACATGTGAGTGTGTGGCGTGTGTCAAGCACTCCCTTCCTGGGGCCCACTGTGTGTGCAGGAAAAGCTCCTTGGTCCAATGTAGAGTTCTCCCAGGATATCCTCTGGCGGGCCACACCCTCGGCGGTTTACCCTGCTCAGCTCCCATGTGCATCCATCTCTCTCCTCCAGTGCAGAAGGGAGGAATAGAGACCCAGAGAGGGCAATGTGCCTTGCTAAGGCCACACGGTCAACTCCATGTCACAAACTCTCCTCCCCCACCAGGCCCTGCGCAAAGTAGCAGCCGCGGAGCGGGTGGTCCGAAGACCTTCCTACTTGGATCTGTTTCGGACCCCGCGGCTCCGACGCATCTCGCTGTGCTGCATGATGGTGTGGTGAGGAGGGGCTGGCCTGGCGGGGTGAGGGTGGGGGCGCGGAGGGAGGGGCTGACCTCAGGATGATGCTGAGTATAACAGGAAACAGGACAAGTAAACTGTAAATGTGGAGGGCAGGGTGGGGGTATTGGATGGGGGTGGGGATGATGGAGTTCTGGAAGGTCAGAAGATGGAGTCGGCATCAGTCACGTGGGTTCAAATTCAGGCTCTTGCCTTTCCTTATTGGGAGACCTTGGACAGGTAGAAGGGACGCTGTTAGTTCCTACCTCGCAGGGTTGCTGTGAAGATTAGGCAAAGAAGCTTTGGCCACAAGGGGGAGGTGGTCTCTCCTAAAGGCCAAGTTCCCTGAGAGGACACGGTGGGTGGGAAGGAGGCCCCTGAGTGGCCCTGTGACCCCTCTCAGGTTTGGAGTGAATTTCTCCTATTATGGCCTGAGCCTGGACATATCGGGGCTGGGGCTGAACGTGTACCAGACGCAGCTGCTGTTCGGGGCCGTGGAGCTGCCCGCCAAGCTGCTGGTCTACTTGTCGGTGCGCCACGCTGGACGCCGCCTCACACAGGCAGGGACGCTGCTGGGCACTGCCCTTACCTTGGGCTTCAGGCTGCTGGTGCCCACCGGTGAGCCTGGCGCTGCCCCGCCCACTCGCCCAGGCCCCGCCTCCTGGCCAAGAGCCCCCGCCCTTTCCCAGCCAATGACGGTGTGCCCTCTCTGAAGACTCCGCCTTCTGTCCTGAACCCTCTCCTCCAGAGAAGGCGTACTGGAGCACCGCCCTGGCGGTGACCGGGAAAGGGTTTTCCGAAGCTGCCTTCACCACTGCCTACTTGTTCACCTCGGAGCTGTACCCTACTGTGCTCAGGTGAGGGGAGCCCGAGTCCAGGCAACCCTGGGGAGAGGGTTAGTTAGTCTCATCTCTTCCCAACACCCCCACATGCACACAACACACTGCACCCCCGTCCCTCTCACCCATTCCCTGCACAGCACTCGGAATACGGAGGTAATCAGAGCCTCTGTTGGCCTCAACCTGGGAGAAGGTGGGCCATTTTATCTTCTTCACTAAGTGACCCTGAGGGAGGCCAGACGTCTCTGGGCCTCCTTTAAAAGAAAGCAGTGGCCAGAAGCCCCGTCTGCCCACCCCGTCCCATCTCCCTGCAGCCCAGGCAGAGCTGCCCAGGGGAGTTGTGTCTGGACATAAGGCCCGGCCCCTTTCAACTAGCTATTGGCAGGTGAGGAGGCGGCGTGTAGGCAGCCGAGAATGATTAGAAAGCCTTGCACCTCCTCTGACATGGCATAATCTATGAGCTGCTGGCCCTCTTCCTTCCACACTGCTTTTCCCCACCCCCTTTCCTGTGACGTTTCTTTTCCTTCAATGATACCTGACTGGTCCTCTGTCAGAATGGGGGCCCCATCCTCTGGTGGGTGTTGACTTGGGAGGGGCCTTGGCCAGGGGTGGGTGGAAGACCACCCAAAAGGAGCCTCAGTGTTCTTAGCTGTCTGGGGAGAAAAGGGGGTACCAACAGGGGTACTCCCTGCCAGCCGGGGAGAGCCCCATGAGGCGTGACTCCGAGTAGCTGTGAGCACCAACCCCTCCCCCATCCTTTCTCTGAACAGACAGACAGGGATGGGGCTGACCGCACTGGTAGGCCGGCTTGGGGGCTCTTTGGCTCCACTGGTGGCCTTGCTGGATGGAGTATGGCTGTCACTGCCCAAGCTCACTTATGGGGGGATTGCCCTGCTGGCTGCCTGCACTGCTCTCCTCCTGCCAGAGACAAGGAAGGCACAGCTGCCAGAGACCATCCAGGATGTGGAGGGGAAGAGGTGTGTACACTTGCATGTGGGTATGGGTGCTCAGGTACCTGACACCTTAGGTAGGATTCAGAGGAAGACATGTCTGTATCTGGTACATCTATGCAAGTATGCTTTGGTGCATGACCTAAAGTATGTAAATTGTGTGTATAAAAGCATGTTCGAGTCCATATCCATGTGTGTGTACATAAATACCTAAGACTGTCTAGGAAGAGGTGGATGTATGCACACTCAGGTATACCTGTACATCAGGGATGTGTATAAGCATGTGTAGGAGTCCCTTGTGGGAGTACACACATTTATATACCAAGAGTTGGGGAAACCCTAGGTCAGCACTAATGGGGAAGGCTGGGGTGGTAGACTCCGGGGCTAAACCCCACCATTATTCACGACTCCTTCCTCCCCAATGCCCCGTCCAGCCTTCAGGAAGAACAGATGCCCATGAAGCAGGTCCATGACTGAGTGGTCTCAGGAGCAGGCACTCCACAGAAGTTCTGGACCAGGGCTGGGGGCACTGAGCCCCCTGCTCAGGGTTGGATTTGCCAATGCCATTCTCTGTGCTCATCCAACTGCTAGCAACAGAGTGACTTCCAAAATGCAGTGGACTGCTGGAGAATTCTGGTACCTCTCTCTTGGCTAAGCGGATTCTATAAATAAAGGTTCCCCCTGGGTTGGGGCAGCGGTATGGAGCTGTGGGATGAGCCCTGAATGGGAAGCCACTGAGTCTGGTGCTGGCTTCTGATCTGACCTTTGCCACTGATTTGCTGTGTGACCTTGGGCATTTCCCTTTTGGGGCCTCAGTTTGTTCATCTCTCAAATGGATAATGAAACTTCTTAACAGACCTCACCACAGGATGTATCTGTTGTCACACTCAATGAGGTGCAGAATAAGGTGCTTCTTCTAGAGATGGTGCTATGATGACGTCTGTGGGCATGCTTTTCACTGTGTAATGCTGGAGGCTGCCCAATGCCAGGGCCAGGAGAACAGAGCTCTTTGTTCCATAGCTGGTCTTACTACCTCCCTGGCACTTTGCAGGGTAATGCATTCTCCACCGCCATCACCGCCCCCGAACCCACTGTCTAGGCCTCATGCCCAAAGAAGAAATGAAGACATGGGAGCCAACATTTTATTGGAGAAGGCTGAATAAACACAAGTTTTATGAGTACCTTGAAGTTATAGAATTTGCTGGGGAAAGGAATTGGAAAGGACAAGAGGCCAACATTCAAAATGGGGTGGACCAGTTCCCCTGAGCAGATAGGAATGAGAAAGGGAGGAGTTGGCAGAGAAAGTCTAGACTTTCTGGTCTGCTATGGAGCTGAGGCCCACACTGCCAGAATCCCATCCTCCCCTACCTCTAAGGGATTGAAGAATTCTGTAGCTCCCATTGGATCATGGAGGGGACGATGGGAGGCCTGAGTTAGGGTGACTTCTGTAAGCATCTCATTTGGATTTTATCTCCACGGGGTCATAGATGTAGCAGCCCACATCACCAATGTTCACACCTGAGGGAGAGAGCCTCATCACTTAGGGCCTTGGGGCCAGGGGGGACTGGGCTTAGGGCTGGAGGGAACTGGGAGGGACCTGGGATATATCTGAGTACAGGGGAAGTTGTCCACACATCCCCACAGACCCACATGCCATACTTTAAGCCCAGTGTCTAGGGTGGGGCTGCCCACCTTTGGGGCCAAACAGGTAGCCGTAGCAGGGGATGTGGCAGTAGGGGACGCCGTCATGCTGGGACACAGAGAGAAAGAGAGCACTCTCAGCTTGGCTCTTTTCCTATCTCAGCCTCTCTCCTCCCAGCATAACCACCCATTCCTTCACTGCTCACCTCAGCATGACTCCCAGCAGTCAGGGTCTTCCGGCAGCGCTGGCACCTCAGACAGGGTCGGTGCCAATTTCTGCCCAAAGACATCACCTTCTCAGCTGGTGGTGGAGAGAGTTAGTAACCCTAGGGGCAGGGCAGGGACCCTTGCACCACCTCCCTGCCCTTTGATGCCCACCTTGTACTCCCCTCCTTTCACTTTCTCTTGTCACTTACCAAAATAGACAGGTTCCTCACAGCCAGGGCACAACGAGGTCTCCCCAGTGAATGTCTTCATGTGGGAAGGGCCTTTAAGGGGAAGAAGCCCTGGCTAGGGCTGAGGTGGAGGCCAGGCCTAAGTAGGGCCCTCTAGCACCAGTCTGCATATGGCACTGTCCTCTTCCCAAAGCCATGCTCACTCCAGAGCTTCCCATCAGGTGGCCATAAGTATGCCTACCTCAGACAGAGCTGAGTCCCCTCTGATCCCACCCCCTGTCCCATCCCTATCTGCAGGAGGGACCACCTACTTCCTTCTCGTCCTCTCAGGGGTTCAGGTGCCCACCAGCCCAACCCTGTCAGCAACTCAATCCTCAGGAAACCTGAGCTGATATAAGAGCTGCCCAGGGCAGGGGTGTCAGGTGTTTGGGGAGCACGGTGTCACTGCCCACTATAGGGGACAGGAGAAAGTAACAGAGGGGAGCAGTGGAAGAATGTGAGGGACTGGCCTGTCTCGATGACTCCTCGTAAGTCATTCCTTCCATGGTCTTGCCTGGGAAAGCCTGACTTCCAGGCTAGCTTTGCCTCTGACTGGCTGTGACTACACAAGGTCACTTGCCCTCTCTGACCTCAGTTTCCTCACCTATAAAATGGGGGTGGTAATGCCATTTGCCCACTTTACCTATGAGCTCAGCAGCTGACATGAGGAAACATAAAAAAACTGGTCTTGGATAATGGAAGATTTTGCCATGAACAAAGTTGTAGGAATGTGAGGCATAGGACTATGTGAGAGACTGCTACCTGCTTCCACCCCGTTCCCCAGCCTAGGAAGGATCAGAAGGAGGGGGCTCAGCCTCACTTACTTTTCTTGCGCTGGGGGAGGCCAGTCCTGGGTCTTGGGGGGCTGAAACTGCTGGGGTCAAGGGGGGTGGTGTTGGCACGGGTGAGAATGGGAGAGTTGTAGAGGTAGGAGCCCACACCACCAATGTTCACCCCTGCAGAGAGAAGAGGGTAAGTCAGACTGGAGTCTCCAGGTCCCTGCCACAGAGAGGGTTTCCGCTGCACTCTGTCCCCTTCCAAGCTGGTACTTACCACTGGGTCCGAAGAGAATCCCATAGCATGGCTTGTGGCAATACGGCCTCCCATTGTGCTAGGCACAAGCAGAAGAAAAGGGGTTGCTCAGGGATAAGGGGGCTTCTCCTGTGCCTCACAGGTCTTCCTACCAAACACACTGCCAGGTGTCTGCCTACTGGCCTGGGCTGGTGGGGCTGGGAGGGGCAAGGGTGGGCTGGCATGCCAGAATTGCCGCTGTGGTCAGGGGAAAAGGGCAAGAGCAGATCAGGAAGCAGTGCTGCTGCCTTCTCCTCCCCCTCAAATGGCATGGGGCTCACCAGTACTACTCAGGGTCCCCAAATCCTGGCTGGTGTGGGGCCCACCCTGGAAGTGGTTTTGGGAGTTGGCACTGAGGTTGCCTTTGGTGAGCTGACAGGGCCACAGTGGGGCTGGTGCCTGGGGGACAGTAACAGACATAGGGTGGTGTGCCCCAGATAGGTCTCACCTCTGCATGCCCTCCTGGGGACAGGACACTGTGGCAGTGCTCACATTTCAGGCAGAAGCGGTGCCAGTTCTTGCCCAGGGAGCTCACCTTCTCCGCTGTAGGGAACAAGGTGGAACCAGGCTGCCAATCGCCCTCCTTTCCCCCCTCAGCCCCATCCTGCTTCCGGGAGACGGTGGGGAGTGTCTCCAGGAGGCCAGCTCCATCCCGCCAGAGTGCCGGTCCCACAGCTAGAAGGGAGTCTGGGGTTGCACCCGCGCCTGTTCCTCTTGTCCTCAGGGAACCCAGCGGCTCACACTCGCCCAGTTTTCTCCCGCTTCTCAGCCCGGGCCTCACCGAAGAAAACAGGTTGCTGGCAACGTGGGCAGGTCCAACTCATGGCTCCGCTCAGGTAAGCTGGTTGCTGCACACAGTAGGCACCCAGCAGGGACTCCGTTCCACCCTCTCCACTGGCTCCACCCATGACTCAGCTTGGAGCCTCATTGGGCTGAACCCCCTGTTCCTCAAAGCCCATTAGTTGCCAGAAATTTAGCACTACTCCACCTGGGGGACGCTGGCGCCTTCGCAATTACTTCCAAACACTAAAGCCTCTCACCCTCCGAGAAGTGAGAAGGTCCTGAAGCCAGACTGTGGGAAAAGGGAGCAATGAAGACACTTGGTACTAGTTTCTGGCTTGGTACGGAGAGGGAAAATGCCTTGAGTGTAGACACTATGAAAGCACTATTATTTCAAACCCAAAGCGAGGGGTTAGGGGTTCTTTGAAATGGTTTAATTCCATCTTGGCAGTCTCACAGGTGGTTAAGAGCACCGGAATCTGCAGTCCATCTCTGCTACAGGTAAATTACTTAACCATCCTCTGCCTCTGTTCTGTACAATACTATGATGATAAGTCTCTACCTCATAGGATTGTTGTGAGAATTATTTACGTTAATACATGCAGAGTACCCAAACAGCACCTAGCATTTAAATGCTATAAAGCAATCTCTACCATAATGAACTCTTAGTTTGGAAGCCTCAAAGGGTGGTTCTGCAAACAATGGTCTGCTTGTAAAATTATGCTTATTAAATTTAAACTATAATTCAGTCACCAATTACATATTCCTAATTTAGTTTGTTTTAAGATGTTTTAATATTTATTAAAAGTAGCTCAACAGCCCAGCACGGTGGTTCAGTGGTTGAGCATCGATCCATGAACCAGGAGATCATGGTTCGATTCCTGGTCAGGGGACATGCCCGGGTTGCAGGTTCAATCCCCAATGTGGGATGTGCAGGAGGCAGCTGACCAATGATTCTCTCTCATCATTGATGTTTCTATCCCTCTCTCCCTCTTCCTTCCTCTCTGAAATAATAATAATTTTTTAAAAAAGTAGCTCAGCAGTGCTTCAAAGGACACTTCAAAAATGGAACCTCACAGAATGGCAGAAAAACATTTGTAAACATGTATCTGATAAGGGTCTAGTAACCTGAATATATATAAAGGACTGTTACAACTCAATAATAAAAAGACAACCCAATTAAAAAAATGAGCAAAGAATTTGAATAGGCATTTTTTCCAAAGAAGATAGAAACATTGTTAAACCAAATAAGCCAGACATATAACACCACCACATATTTTATGATTCCATTGATATAAAATGTCCAGAGTAGGAAACCCACAGAGAGAGATTAGTGGTTGCTCAGGGTTTTGGGAAAGGGCTAACGGGTATGAGATCTCTTTAGGGGAAGATGAAAATGATCTGGAATTAGATATTGGTGGTAGTTGCACAACCTTAGGAATATATGAAAAATCAATGAATTGTACACCTCAAAAGGGTGAACTTTATGGTATGTGAATGTCTCAATGTTTCAGTTTCTCAGTAATAATGATGATTATAATAATAATAATGCCTTAAGTGAACTACTTAAAAAAAATGGTAGCCTAGCAAATGAGGGATTAAGAGAGAGCTGATTACTTTGTACCCCAGCAGAGCAGACCAGCTTGATAAAATATCATGGTGAAATGAAGTTTTTTCTGGAGTAAGTTCCTCTGTGGGTTTTTGTTTTAAATATGTTTTTACTGATTTTAGAGATAGAGAGGAAGGGTGAGGGAAAAAGAGATAAAACATTGATGTGATTGCCTCCCATAAGCACCCCACCTGGGGATCAAACCCGTAAGCTGGGTATGTTCCCTGACTGGGAGGTCAAACCAGGGATCTTCCAGTGTACAGGCTACACTCAACCTGAACAACACCGGCCAGGGCTAAGTTCCTGTTTTGTAAAGTCAGTTCAGAAGGGCTTAAGGGTGTGTGGGTGGGTGTGCACGCACACATCATTGGGCTGCAGTGCTGTGCCCTGTTGGGTAAAAAGAGTCACTCTCTGAACTTAAGTCTCCTCAGCTGGGCCATAGGGATGGGACTGGTGTCTACAAACTTCCACTTAGCACTCCTGTTTCCCTCACTTGTCTTCATCAGTACTTTCTGATCATAATTCCTCATTGATTTCTAAACATACAAGTCTTGCACACTGTGAAAGAAACTTTTCTATACTTTCTCATTATTTGTTTCTTGTTTTGGGGAATATTTCAAGATCCTTAGATTTATAACTGTTTCTTGAAGGGCTTCTTTTTAACAAATTTTTCAAGTTTTGGTCTCCACTGATATTTTACTCTTATGTTTCTGCCTCTCTCATTTGTTTCTTCTTGCAGAAGGTAGCTCGAGGTTCGGTGCCTTTGCTCTCTATTGCACTAATGAAGAAGGTCCCATTTCAGGAGATTGGGAGGACTTGTTGTATTTATTCTTAGATATGCTGCCTCCTTTAGGAAGGGCTAGCTTCATCTGCCCAAGAATCCATCTTCAGCATTTCCAGGGCACATCAGTTAATCCTTTCCTAAGACTGCCTAGTTCTTTCTGCTTTGGATCATATTATACACATGCCCTGGCCTCCTAGACAGGTCATTTTTATCCTAGCATCCAGCACAGGGCCCCACTAGAAAAAAACAGGCATCAAAGTGTGAGTACCATGCTGCTTCTACACAACTTACAATGTCAGAGGGACAGATGCTTTACTGCTCCCCATCTTCTGTGGCCTTCCTATATTGTATGTCATGACAAACATAGTATGTCTCATCTCTTCTATTTCTTCACTTAGGAAAGACTAGTTGAGACTCCTCCTTTCTAAATATTTGCCATCTATATGCAGGTACAGCAAATCACAATATTCCATTCTTCTTGTCTGGTTTCCATTATTCTGACTCTAAAAGAGGCTTTGTAAAGAATGCTTACAGGGCCCTAACCGGTTTTGCTCAGTGGGTAGAGCATCGGCCTGCGGACTGAAGGGTCTCAGGTTCGATTCTGGTCAAGGGCATGTACCTTGGTTGCGGGCACATCCCCAGTCGGGAGCGGGTAGGAGGCAGCCGATCGATGTTTCTAACTCTCTCTCTCCCTTCCTCTCTGTAAAAAAATCAATAAAATATATATATTTTTAAAAAGAATGCTTATAGGGGTGCCCTCCCTCTTGGCACCCTGGCCTTTCTTCCCTCTCAGGCATGCATCTCCTAAACTCTAAGGGTCCCCACTAGACTTGCAATCCAGGGAGCAATGGGCAGCGGCAGTTAACCTGTCTCCAAGGCCCCTTTTCTCTGATTTTGCAGTGAGCAGCCCCACCTAGGTTCATTTCTTTCCTATAACATTTCTAGAGCCAAAAGCAGCTCTGTTTAGGTTCTCTCCTATTGATTCTTCTATCCTAAGGCCTTCCTTATTTAACTGCCCCCAGCTTTAATAAACATACTTAAAAATGTTATTAAAAAAAGAATGCTAACAGGGAAAATGAACATTTCTTATAGGAATGTACTTACAGTTGCTGACAATGGCTGTTTTGAATACTATGTGTGACTAAACCTCTAAAATGATATTATAACAAAAACCACAAATGGATAAGTCCAGTTGAGTGTAGGTACAGTAGCCCCCCTTATCTGCAGGAGATATGCCCAAGACCCTCAGTGCATGCCTGAAAGCACAGATAATACTGAACCCTGTATAGACTTTGTTTTTTCCTATACATAATTACCTATGATAAAGTTTAATTTATAAATTAGATACAATAAGATAGTAACAATAACTAATAACAGAACAATTATAACAATAGAAGCAAAGTAAGGATTACATGAACGCAAGCACTGAGATGCAGCAACAGTTGATCTGATAACCAAGATGGCTACAAAGTGACTAACAGACAGGTAGCAGATACAATGTGGATATGCTGGATAAAGACATGGTTCACATTCCAGGCCGGATGAAGTGGGACTACATGAGATTTCATTATGCTACTCAGAAGAGTTCACAATTTAAAACTTAAGAATTGTTTATTTCTGGAATTTTCCATTTAGTATTTTAGGTTGACTGCAGGTAACTGAAACTGCAGAATGTGAAACTGCGGATAAGGGGGGACTATTGTATTACCTACTCAACTGTCAGGGTGCAGCTTCTGTCATCCCTTTTTTTGTTTAAAATATATTTTTATTGATTTCAGAGAGGAAGGGAGAGGAAGATAGAAACATTAACCGGCTGCCTCCTGCATGCTCCCTATTGGGGTTCAAGCTTACAAACTGGGCATGTGCCCTGACTGGGAATTGAACTATGACCTCCTAGTTCAAAGACTGATGCTCAACCACTGAGCCACAACAGCTGGGCTGTGTCATCCCTTATAGGGGGGCAGCCCCTGCTTTCATAACGATGATTGTTCTCTTGGTGTCCCCCACTCCCTGCTTTTCCTGCACAGACCTCTGTCACAGTATCTGTAAATGCTGCATTACACTTACTATTTATTTGTCTGACTTTCTTCAATTAACAGGATTGACCAACTAATCTGTGTACCTATAGCACTAAGTATGGTATGGGTGCTCAGTAAATGATCCTTATTATTATTAAAATTTACCATTAACACTTTTTACCTCATGTTTTTAGGTAGATGTATATTTTAGGGTTGTTATGTTTTCTTGATGAATCAATCCCTTTACTTTTGTTGTTAGGCAAGAAAAAAGCGTTTCACTCCAGGTGAGTAGTGGTGGAGAATTACTTCAAACACCTGGAGGGCCATCACATGGAAGAGGCATTAGGGCACTACCAAGACCCCTGGCTAGAGGGGTCTTAGTAGAAAAATACAGGAAAGCAGATTTGGATTCAGTCCAAAAAAGAACTTTCTAATAGAGCCCAAACATGGAGTGGCTGCTTTAGACAGCAGTGAGCTTCCTGTCTCTGGGTGTCATAAGTAGCAATGGACAACAAACCAACTGATCACCAGTGTTGCAGAAGGGATGCAAGACAGACGAACCTTTAAGGTTTTGTCACAACTTGAGAATATATGATTTTGTAATTCCATTCCCAAAGAGAAGTTTGAAATTTGTATTACCAAGGAAGCATTGCTAAAATAGTGACAGCTACCACCTATGGAGTGCCAGTCATAGGCACTGTACCCGTTATTTCTGCCCCTACAACAACCTGATGAGGTAGTTATATGTTACATTACCAATTGTACCATAAAGGAAAGTAAGAAAAGAAATGGAGAAGCTAAAAAATGTGTTCAATATCACACAGAACCAAGCATTCTGATTCTTGAGCTCATACTTTGCGCTTTATGTTCCTAAGTATGGTTTCTGCTAAGTTGCCCGTGTGTTTCAGTCTGAAAGGGTACTATTCTGGTCTGCACAGCACGTCTATATCTGAAGAGAGCCTATTCTGGCAAATAATGTCATTAAAACTTTCTTAGTGCCCTTATGATAAAAGTTTTTAACTTCGCTCCAGGACCATCCACCTTTTCAGTCTTCTAGTCATTTCTCCTGTTGCATAACTCCTCCAAACACACTAATTGAGCTGCCAAAGCTCTTTCCTGTCTCTTTTGGGGAACTTACTTCCCAAGAGCTTCACCTCACTGATTCCTGCCTAACTTCAGCGTCTCCTCATCTACTCAATAACAGGATATTGGCCCAGGCACACTCTCATTTAGCATCCTGTGCTGGAGCATAGGGTGCATACAACCTATGACAATTTATTTTCCCTGAGTGCTGAACCAAATGTGGGGAAAAAGGCAGATGGAGACCTATGATAAAAGGCTAGGTTTGTAGATTAATGGGAGAGTAAAACAGGCCTGTCAACCTCCTGTCCCCCAAATCTAGGCTTTGTCTATCCCATTAGTCTATGTGCTCCATGACAGCAGGGACCAGGACTGCTTTGCCAACCACTGTGTATGCTTCCCATGCCTTGTTCAATCTCTGGGACAGTGATCAGTAAATACTTGCTGGTGAATGAACGTTAAATGTTATACACAAGTCTCTCTCAAGTGTGAGCAGATGAGGGCTGATGGGATAGATGTGGGATTAGGAGGGGACTGGTAGGAGTGGAGAGTTCTACAACAAAAGCCCTGGAGCAAGGGAAACTCAGTTGTTTTGAAGTAAGGACTCAGAAGTTTGTTTCTTAATATACATAAAGATCTGCATGTATGATGGAGTATGATTTAAACTGATTCTGGTTTTAAATACTAGGTAACTAATAAAGTAAAAAGAGAACTGAAAATTTGCCTTGGCAGGAAACCAGCCCCACTAACTACAGTAATTCACACAAACTTACTAATTAGGCTCAATTAGCAGGAAGTACTGTTGGGAGCCATTAAAGATATTGGCTTAGACAAAGCCATCTTAAGAACTATAAGTTTCTGGCTCCTCCAGAAACTCCTAATTACCAGAAACCACCTGTGTCTTGCAAATTGGCCAGCAGTTAAAGATAAACTACCCTCACACAGCCGCTAAATCACATATCTCCACTGATAAGCACACAGCCATCCAGAGCCTGCTAAATCACACATCTCCGCTAATAAGCACAGCCATCCTAAATCACTAGTAATAGGTTACTGCCCATAGACCCCTTTACCCACCCCCCTTCCCTAAAACAGTATATATCCTGCCGCTGTGAGAATACAGTTTGAGGCTTGATCAGAACTTGTCTTGCCTCCATTCTTTCGTGTCCCTTGTTTGTTTCATTCTCCTAGGGTGTCTCTTCGTTCCCACGTTGTTGTCCCGCGGGTCGGGACAAAGTACAATTAGGTCTTCCATAATTAAATACATGGCAAGTGAGAAAACGTGGGAAAGTGTCATGTAAGCTATAAAGCATCTTACAAATATGGCTGCTTATTATGACAACTATAAATTCTGCTCATTTTATATCTTTGTAGACTTGCTCAAATACATGGCTATATGCTTGTGACTTTTAAGGCATTATCAAAAACTTTGTTCTTACATGACTTTTTTGAAAGGTTTTACTTGGTTCTGGTATATTAATAAAAATCAGCCTTACCTCTTTATTGTGTTTCTTAATTTTTATAATCCATAACCCTGTGCTTCCTCACTCTATCTTCTGAATATAACCTCCAAGTAAAAAGCTTTACTCTCTGTAGTTTATATTACTTTAAAACACAAACAATAAAAATAGAAACACACACAAAAGAAATGCTTTCTTAAACACATACTAATCCTCCCACCTGCATAGAATTGCTGCTGTATAATCATATTATTTATGGTTCTTATAAGAGTCTGATTTTTTCCCTTTTTTCCAGCATCAACATGCCATCACATGAACCTGTTGAGAGTACTCTGTATATAGCTACTTGTGGTTAGCTATTGAGTTGACTACATTTTGTGACATCAGCTGGACTAATTCAGAATCAAGACTACAGAAAAGGATCCCCTGACCCTTCACCATGGCTACCTATGCTCATGAAAAAAAATCAACAACAGCTTTTAAAAAGTGTTTTCCATACAGAAGGCCAAGAGACATATGAAACATGCTCAAAGTCACTAATCATCTGAGAGATGCAAATTAAAACAAGATACCATATCACACCTGTCAGAATGGCTATCAACAGATCAACAAACAACAAATGCTGGCGAGGATGTGGAGAAAAAGGAACCCTCATGCACTGCTGGTGGGAATGCAGACTGGTGCAGCCACTGTGGAAGACAGTATGGAGTTTCCTCAAAAAGTTAAAAATGGAACTCCCATTTGATCTAGTAATTCCACTTCTAGGACTATATCCCAAGGAACCAGAAACACCAATCAGAAAGGATATATGCACCCCTATGTTCATAGCAGCACAATGTACAATAGCTAAGATTTGGAAACAGCCTAAGTGCCCGTCAACAGATGAGTAGATTAAAAAACTGTGGTACATCTACACAATGGAATACTACGCTGCTATAAAAGAAGAAGGAACGTTTACCATTTGCAACAGCATGGATGAACCTGGAGAGCATTATGCTAAGCAAAATAAGCCAGTCGGAGAAAGATAAATATATCATAAACTGATAAATATCAACATAAACTGATGAACAAAAATAGATCTAGAGACAAATGGCAGAGGAGGTGGGGGGTGGGGTTAGAGAGCAACCAAAGGACTTGTATGCATGCATATTAGCATAACCAATGGACACAGACACTGGGGTGGTAGGGGCTTGCCTGGGGTAAGAATGGCTGGGGTGGTGGGAGGGAGGTCAATCAGGGAAAAAGGAGACTTATGTAAAACTTTAGACAATAAAAAAATAAAATAAAAAGTGTTTTCCATGCAAAGATGTAGTTGGCTTCTCAATTATCACTCGGAAATGCATATTTCATCTAAAAGTATATAAAAATAACTACCTATAAATAATTTGTAGCATGAAAAATGTATCCATATGCTGGAAACTGAGAAGAAAAAAAAGAGAAGTGAGATTTGGTGGTCAGCTTGTTTATAAAAGGTGACAATGCCCTACCAGCAATTTCCTCATCTTCTTATTAAGGTCTTGGTGGTAATTTTTTTTACAATATACAAAAATAGTCCTCACCACCATCATCACCTCCACTACCTCTTCTCCCACCAACCAGAAAAGAATAGTCCTTCCAGGTCATGAGACTATGTTAATGGAACTAAAACAATTTAATCTGATTAATTAAGGCAAGTACAAATGCTTACCTTTATATAGTTTTCAGTTTCTTCATGAAGCTCAAGGTCACAGAATCAGGAGTCAATTTCCAGCCTCTTGCCAACTCCAAAATGTTTGATCTTTTTCTCTCCTGAACTTTTGGAACAGGCAGAGCTATAAGAACTTTATTTCTAATCTCTTACAAGCCCCCCACCCCAACTATTACACAAAAGAGGAAAGCAATTACCAGTATCTCAGTAGGGACAAGGACTTGAGCACCCATCTCTTGATAAGCAGCCACAAAGAAAATGGCTACAAAGAAGGCAGTGAATCTTTGTAGCTCTATAGGCGACATTTTATTTTCTACTTAGAAGCAATTCCTTTGGAGAACTTAGTCTCCCCACATTCCACATTAATTCCACTTAGTCTAGATTGTTCAGTAGGGTAGACTCTGCCTTCCCATGGTGAGCTTATGACCTGGGCCTGGTCTGAGTACTTCATCTACCTAGCCACAGTAATTGTTCAGAAATAGAAATGTGGCCCAAGTTACACTAATCAACATCCTCCCTGAGACTTTTCTAGTGTTATAAGGAAAAATACACTCTCATTTTCTAGAGCGAAGCCTATAAGGACCATGGTAGCTTGAGACTGTAGGGCTATCTTGCCCCTGAGTGGAGAGAATAAAGAGAGCTGAGGGAATAAAGAGAGTCCTGATGACATCTCTAACCTCCTGAATCTAACTGTACCTCAGTTCCTCAGTTACCAAGGTGTAAGTTTTTTAAATCCTTTAATATATATATAATTGATTTCAGAGAGGAAGGGAGAGGGAGAGAGAGATAGAAACATCAATGATGAGAATCAATGATCGGCTGCCTCCTGCACGCTCCTTACTGGGGATCAAGCCCACAATCTGGGCATGTGCCCTGTGCGGGCATAGAACCATGACCTCCTGGTTAAAAGGTTGACACTCAACCACTGAGCCACATGAGTTAGTCACCAAGGTGTAAATTAACCTCTATCCATTTTTGTCTTAAGCTTGCTTGAGTTAGATTTCTGTTACAACCAAAAGACTCTAATTAAAACAGTAAGCACTTTTACACAGGTAGAAGTACTCCTTCTTGTATTTTAGCATTACATCATTTTGTGTGAAGTTCTGACACTGTAAATAGCTTTGTATACATATTTTCTTTTTTAAACATACATATTTTCTTAATGCATGATTTTCAGAATAACCTTTAAGAAAAAAAACTATAATCCGGCTGGCATGGCTCAGTGGTTGAGTGTCAACCTGTGAACCAGGAGATCACAGTTCGATTCTCAGTCAGAGCACATGCCTGGGTTGTGGGCTAGATTACCTGTGTGGGGTATGCAATGATTCTCTTTCATCGTTGATGTTTCTATCTCTCTCTCCCTCTCCCTTCCTCTTTGAAGTCAATAAAAAAATATTTTAAAAAAAGACTATAAAATAATATGGATCTAAGAAATGGATCTTAGATAAGTAATACAGTGGGGCCTTGACTTACGAGTTTAATTCATTCCGAGACAGAGCTCGTTAAGGAGCTCATTAACTCAAATTACTCTGTCAACTCAATGCAAAAAATTGGCCGAGAGACAGCTGGTATCTCAAAACACTTGTTAGTCGGGACACTCGTAAGTCAAGGCCCCACTGTACAATTAAAAATGGGCAAAGGAGCCCTGACCGGTTTGGCTAAGGGGACAGAGCATCGGCCTGCGGACTGAAAGGTCCCAGGTTCGATTCTGGTCAAGGGCATGTACCTTGGTTGCGAGCACAACCCCAGTAGGAGGTGTGCAACAGGCAGCTGACCGATGTTTCTGGCTCTCTGTCCCTCTCTCTTCCTCTCTGTGAAAAATCAATAAAATATATTGGAAGAAAAAAAAATGGGCAAAGGATTTGGATAGTTCTCCAAAGAAGATAGACAAATGGGCAATAAACACATGAAAAGATGCACGACATCATTAGAAGAAATGCAAATCAAAACCCTAAGGAGATACCATTTCACACCCACTAGGATGGCTACATGAAAAAAAAGAAAAACAGAAAACACAATTACTGGAAAAACTGTAGAGAAAATGAAACACATTTCTGGTAGGTGTGCTGGGCTGCATATCTGGTGCTTTGGCCAGGCGGGGCACGCTGTGCTCTCTGTTCCTAGAACACATAGATGGGAAGGTGGTCACTGTACTGATGCTGTACTGTGTTGGGAACAAATTGTGTAAACAAGGCTTTGTAACTAACTTTGTGGTTTTTGCAAATAAAAACGCTGTAACTCCTATAGTCGGCACTGCAGTTCAGCCTTTGCTTCGGCAGGGTGCTGTAACTGTAGTCGCTGGCCAGCTTAATAAAGGCTCCTAAATCTTGATCTGAGTCCCTGGTGGTTGTCTCCACGGGTCGCCCCATTACAGTACAACTGCTGTGAAAAATAATCTGACAGTTCCTCAAAAAGTTAAACATAGTGTGATGTCACAGAAATGGCAAATTAGAGAGCTCCAAGAATCAGTTCCTCCACGGAAGCATCATTAAGCTGGCAAAAACTGATAATCAACTTGTCTAGAACTCTGGAATCTAATTTTAAAAAAACTACAATGGAGTGCAACCAGTGGTGTGCTTAATGAAAAAAGCAGCAGCTAAACTTTAGTAACAAAGCGCTGTGATATTTGTACTTACCTGTCTACCACCCCCTACTTCCAGAGCTTGATGCCAGCCATGGGGACAGCAGCCACATTTCTGGTATGGTTTACTGGTACCAGGGGAGGCAATATGTACCTTGTTCTCAGAAGTTTGTGGCTGAGAATTTTGCCCTGTCTAGTGGTTCCCTGAGGAACCTGTGCTGAGGTTGTCTGTTTTGCCCTTCTCAGGCTAGAGCAGCTTTCCAAGTGGCATCTGCTGAAAGCATATAAAGATATATACTATCTGTGGCTGCCTAGAGGAAGGGACAATGAATGGACAAAAAAATGCAGACAGATCTAAAAGCCTGGAAAGTAGGAGACTGAGGAGCAAGATACATGAGAAAATAAGGACTTGGAAGGGCTATGGGGAAATCTGGCAAGCAAAATGCTTGCCCAAGACCGATACATGTTCAGAAAAGACTTGAGAGGACTCTAGGCTTGCACCTTTGGCTGATCTTTGTGATCCATGCAACCAAGAGGTAAAGGCTAAGGAAGCATTTTATACAAACTGACTTAGCATTGAAGTTGCTCCAGTTCAGAGCCAATCCGCAAAAACCAGGAGAGATGATTTTTGGTGTGTTTTTTTTTCTGTTGTTTTGTTTTTCACTCCAAACATTTAAAGAAATCTCTGTCAGGTCACTGACTGACTGCTAAGATAATGAAACAGAGATTTCAGTGATATAGTCTTAGCAAAAATAGTTTGGAAAAGTCAATAAATGAATGATTACAGCCTTGAATAATCAACAGCAAACCAGGGGAGAGGGATCTCATTTCCAGACTGAGATATAATATTAAAAATGTTAAACAAAAAGTCACAAGTTTAAAATAGAAAAAATATGGTTCATTCACAGGTATAAAAGAAGTTTATAGAATGTTCATAGCAGCACAATTTACCATAGCAAAGATCTGGAAACAGCCTAAGTGCCCATCAGCAGATGAATGGATTAGAAAACTGTGGTACATCTACACAATGGAATACTATGCTGCTGTAAAAAAGAAGGAATTATTACCATTTGCAACAGCATGGATGGAACTGGAGAGCATTATGCTAAGTGAAATAAGCCAGTCAATGAAAGAAAAATACCACATGATCTCACTCACTTATGGATAATAAAGACTATTATAAACTGATGAACAAAAATAGATACAGAGGCAGAGCAGCATCGAACAGACTGTCAAACTACAGCGGGAAGGCTGGGGAGAGCTGGGGGGCGGGAAGGGGAGGGGGTAAGAGATCAACCGAAGGACTTGTATGCATGCATATGAGCATAACCAATGGACATAAGACACTGGGGGGAAGAGGAGGCCGGGAGACTGTCAAGTGGGGGGTGAGGAAAGGAGACATATGTAATACTCTTTGTAATACTTTAAGCAATAAAACAAAATTAAAAAAATAAATTAAAAAAAGTTTATAGAAACCATCACCAAGGGATCCCAAATATTGGATTCACTAGACAAATATTTTAAATCAATTGTCCTAAATATACTCAGAATAAGGAAAACAATGGACATAAAATTAAAGGGAACCAGGAAAATGAACAGATAGAGAATATAAAGAGATATAAATTGTAAAAAGAACCAAATAAAAATTCTAGAGCTAAAAAGTACCGTAGCTGAAATAAAAAACTCACTACAGAGGTTCAATAGTAGATTCAACCTGGAAGAAGAAAAAAATGAGTAAACTTGAAGATATAGCTATTGGAATTATTGTCTGAGAAGCAGAAAGAAAAAAGAACACAGAAAATGAACAGGCCCTGGCCAGTGTGGTTTAGTGGCTGGAGTGTCAGTCATCCTGCGCATGGAAGAGTCAAAATTCAATTCCCAGTCACAGCGTGTGCAGGAGGTAACCGATCAATGTGTCTCTCTCACATCAATGTCTGTCTGTCTGTCTCTCTCTCTCTCTCTCAAAAGCCACGGAGGCCAAAAGGTAGTCAGGTGGCATATTTAAACTGTTAAAAGGACTTTCAACCAAGAATTCTATATTCAACAAAACTATCCTCCAAAACAAAGGGAAACTAAGACCTTTTCAGAGAAACAAAAGCTGAGTGAGTTCATTACTAGTAGACCAGCCTTACCAAAAATGATAAAGGGAGCCCTCTAGGATGAAATAAAAAGGACACTAGACAATAACTCAAAGCCATACAAAGAAAAATTTTAAATGTGTTAAAGGTAACCACATAGGTAAATATAAAAGCCAATATTATTCTGTATTTAATTTGTAACTCCTCTTTTTGTTTCCTATGATTCAAAAGACAAATGCTTAAACAATAATTATAATTATATGTTAATTGGCACACAATATATAAAGATGTAATTTGTTATAAAAACAACCTAAGGAGGGAGACAGAGCTATATAGGAGTAGATTTTTTGTATACTTTCAAAGCTAAATAGGTATCAATTCAAACTGGATTGCTATAAACTTATTGTGTTAATTGTAATCCTCATGGTAACCATTAAGGAAATAACTTTTAAAATATAGAAAAATATGGAAACTCCTTCAATATGTTAAGGGCATTTATGAAAAACCTACGTCTAACATCATAAGGGTAAAGACTAAAAGTTTTACCCCTAAGATTAGGGACAAGACTAAGAATGCCACTTTTACCACTGCTTTTCAGTATTGTACTGGATATTCTAACTAAGGAAATTAGGTAAGAAAAAGAAATAAAAGGTATTTAATGAGGAAAAGAAGTAAAACTACCAATACCCAGATGACATGACCCTATGAATATAAAAAATTCCCAAAGAATGAAAACAATGACACCAGAACAAATTAACACTTTCAGCAAAGTTGCAGGGTTATAAGATCAACACTTAAAAGTCAGTTATATTTCTATATAACTGCAATGAATAATCTGAAAGGAAATTAAGAAACACTTCAATTTATAACAGCATACAAAATAATAAAATATAGGAATAAATTTAACCTAAAATATATAGGAATAAAAATAAAAATATACAAGAAAAGCACCTGGCAGTGATGCTCAATGGTTGAGCATCGACTTATGAACCAGGAGGTCAGGGTTCAATTCCTGGGAAGTCAGGGCATGCCAAGCTCGATCCCCAGTGTGGGACATGTGAGAAGCAGCTGATCTATGATTCTCTCTCATCATTGATGTTTCTCTCTCTCTCTCTCTCTCTCTCTCTCTCTCTCTGAAATCAATAAAACAATATATTTTAAAAATAAAAGTATACAGGAATAAAAATAAACATATAGAAAAACTACAAAATACAGTTGACCCACTAAAAAATCCACATGTAAGTGGACCTGGGCAATTCAAACCCACATTCAAGAGTCAACTATAGCCGAAACCGGTTTGGCTCAGTGGATAGAGCGTCAGCCTGCGGACTGAAAGGTCCCAGGTTCGATTCCAGTCAAGGGCATGTACCTGGGTTGCGAGCACATCCCCAGTAGGAGATGTGCAGGAGGCAGCTGATCGATGTTTCTAACTCTCTATCTCTCTCCCTTCCTCTCTGTAAAAAAAAAAAAAAAAAAAAAAAAAAAAAAAAAAATCAATAAAATATATATTTTTTTAAAAAAGAGTCAACTATATTTTCAATCAGAGGTTGGGAATATGCATATAAGGAGGGCTGACTTAAGTTACATGCAGATTTTTGACTGTGTGGGTGGTTGGCACCCCTAACTCCCACATATTCAAAGGTCAACTGTACTGCTGAAAGATATTAAAGACGACCTAAGTAAATGGAAAAGCATACCATGCTCATAGATTGGAAGACTTAATATTGTTAGGATGGCACTACTATCCAATATGATCTAAAGAGTCAATGCAATCCCTATCCAAATTCCATTGGCCCTTTTTTGCAGAAATAGAAAAGCCAATCTTTAAATTCACATAAAATTTCAAGGGGGCTCAAATAGCAAAACAATCTTCAAAAAGAAGCCAATTTCATACTTCTCAATTTCAAAACTTAGTACAAAGCTACAGTAATCTAAATAGTGGTACTAGCATAGGACAAATATATAACCCAATGAAATGTAATTGAAAGTCCAGAAATAAACCCATATATCTATGGCCATCTGATTTCCAACAAGGGTGCCAAGTCCAATCAATGAGGAAAGACAGTCTCTTCAAAAAATGGTGCTAGAATAACTGGATATCTACATGCAAAAAAATTTAGTTGGACCCTATACTATATACAAAAATGAACTACGAATGAATCAACAACCTAAACAAAGAGCTAGAACTATTAAACTCATAGAAGAAAACATAGGGGTAACTCTTCATGACCTTGGATTTGGTAATGGATTCTTAGATATTACACCAAAACCACAAACGAAAAATAGATAAATTAAGATATTTTGTGCATCAAAGGACATTATCAAAAAAGTGAAGCTGTCAGCCAACATCATACTCAATGGGCAAAAACTAAAACCATTTCCCCTAAGAACAGGAACAAGGCAGGGATGCCCACTCTCACCACTCCTGTTTGACATAGTACTGGAAGTATTAGCCATTGCGATTAGACAAGAAGAAGAAATAAAAGGCATCCAAATTGTGTTTTTTTTTTTATATGCACCTTATACTTTAACATAAC